CACAAATCATGCTTGTCACAGAGTTGGCGCTTAATTGTCTCTACATATGTTGTATATTTTGATTGGATTGTTTATCTTCCTTTTGTTAAGTTGTATGAGTGCCCTATAAATTTTGGAGATTAAAACCTTATCAGATGTATCATTGACAAATATGTTCTCCCATGCAGTGGAATCTTATTGTTTTGTTGATAGTTTCTTTTGCTGTGCAGAAGCTTTTTATTTTGATGTAGTCTCATTTGTATTTTTTTCTCCTTAGTTGCCATTGTCCTAGGACCTTGGTCGGCAAACTGCGGCTTGCGAGCCACATGTGGGCCCTTAAGTGTGGCCACGAAGTTTCACTCACACTGTATGTGCATGCCCACACGTGGTATTTTGTGGAAGAGCCACACTCAAGGGGCCGCAGTTTGCCAACCACTGTCATAGAAGATGAAAACCTAGCCATTTATTTTATCCTCATGCTCATAAAGTGAGCCTGCGTGTCATACATACAGAGGTAGTGCCTGTCTCCTGGTGAGAAGGGAATGTTCACATTCTCCATCCCCTGCGTCTTCAGAGGCGTGACAGTACAGGAGGCTGTGTCCCGCTGGGACGAGGCTGTGTGTGGGTGTGGGTGGTCTTTAACATTTTGGGCACATGAGAGCCTGATGAGTTTGAAAAGGGGAAGAGGCAGCCCCATCTTTGCCCAGGAAAACTTCTATTTTCGCTACTCACATATTTCTCTCTGTGAGCCCTCTGGAAAGTGAGGCGTGAGCTGCCAGGCATCATCAAGAAAGATGTAAAAATGAATTTTACATGATGTTGTCTAAGGCTTGTTCCGAAAATTGTATTTTAAACATGTATAAGCCCTAACCCAAATTTGACGGCCTTTTCTCAGTCACTTAAATACATTTGCAGTGTCATTTAATGAGGCTAAAATCTGAATAATGTTACTGTAATTTTCAACCTTAAAACATTTGAAGAAAGTTTAGACGTTCTTGCTATTCTACAGAATATCAAGAAACCTTAAGAACTTGTCAGTCTTCTGAAAAGAGGACATTAATAACTCCCTTTCTTGTACTTATAACTATAGTTTCATTCACCTGAACACCTCAGAATTCCTAAAGCAGTGCTGACAACCCCCAGATTTGCCAAATTTCATATCAGTGCCGATCACTTGCTCTTGCCTCCAGAAAAAGTGCTTTTTTTCTGCATTGGTGACGCCAGACCCAAGAAGTAACTATGTTGAGATAAGTAAAATGGAAGTTTCCTCCTGTACTAAGTAATTGTTCGTTCCCTGGTTAGACTGGAAGAAGAATCCACTATTTCATGATA